CGGAAACCCAAGGAGGGGTCGCTATGAGTCGGGGCCGACTCAATGGCAAACAACAACAACAACAACAAAGGAAAACATGATATCTTGGAAATACTCCTTTATTTATGCCAGTTTTACTTTTCACTCTGAGACATAATCTAGAAGACTAAGTATATTAATTGGATTCCAATGATAAGAGAGACTTTTATGCCAGACTTGGAGTTTAAATTTAAAACATAATGGCCATGTTTCTAAGAATATAGGTTTGATGAAATTGTCTAAGCATATTATGATTTATACAATTTTATTTTGCAATCTCCCCTTATTCCAAGTAGATTTTATTGTATACCCCCTTGTTTAAATTGGTCAGAAGTAAATGAGAAAGGAAACTTGTGTATTTAGGCATAGTTAAATCTTGATTTTAAATTTCTAATTTAGGTAGAAAATATAGGAGAAACTGGTCTCAGAATCTGGAGCACCATAGGCATTTCCAAAATGATGGAAGTCTAAAGTTGTCCCGGTCTTTCCTGTAGGCTTCCTTTCTAATGACGCATGCCCCCTTCCCCACACACATACGTTCATAGGGTTACACGTGCGTGTATATTTATCATTCTGAATGGGTAGGTGCTGATTTGGCACCAAGCTCTCTTTGTCTTCAACCTTTCTGCATGTGAATCAGTATGCGGTGAAGATCAGCATGAAGCCCAGCCCCAAAATGTGGAGACTGATACTGTCCTCATAGTCCCATGATTTTATCCTTACCACTATCCAGCTCTTTGGCACTCATTCTCTCTCTAACTCTTGTCACGCAGAGATAGGTGAGAGCTTACAAGTTAAAAAGATACCATTGTTCAGAGTGCTAGGTAGGTAGACATGAGACACAAGTTTGAGGAATCTACACAACACCTCAAATTTCTGACCAGCTGGTCACATATTTGGGGCTGGTTTCACACTACTTTTTCAGGATGCCAGCCACAAGCTCAGGAATCCACACTACACCCTCACTTTTCTGACTGGCTAATTCCTGCTACCGCTTGGGGTTCTTTTATCCCCTGGAATGACTCACAGAATTCACAGAGAGAACACCATACTTATTATTGTAGAGTTATTATATCCCAAAAGAATAGAGATGAAGGGATAGGTGAGGTGAAGTCTGGGCGGGGTTGCCAACATAATCCTTTCATGTTCCAAGGGATACGAGGTCCTCATAAGGGCAGATGTTCTCATCAACCAAGAAGCTCCCTGAGCCTCCATGTTCAGGACTTTTATTGACCAGCCCTGCATGACAGGCTAAATTATACTTTCTGAAGCTAGTTGTTAAGGAGCTCTGGTGGCATAGCAGTTAAAACATTAGGCCACTAACCAAAAATTGGCAGTTTGATCCTACCAGCTGCTCTGTAGGAGAAAGATGATGCAGTCCACTCCCTTCAGATTTACAGCATTGGAGACCCTATGAGACAGTTCTACTCTCTCCTGAAGGGTGACTATGTGTCAAATGGTTTGAGGCTACTTGATACTGGCCTCCCAGATAAGTCTTTTCTCATCTGTCCAGCCCCTACTCACCAGCATAATTCTCAGGTATGGCTTAGAAGTCCAAATTAAAGCACCTCAACTATTCCAATTGTTGTTTCTCTGGAGCCAAGACAAAGGTTAAAGGTAAAACTAGGACCTTTGCCCCAAGATCAGTGCCCAAACTGTTTCCATAAAATGAACATTTCTCATATTGGATGAAGTGGTCCAGATTCTATATATAAAATAAATGAATAATTTGAAACTAGAATTATTGCTAGATTATTTTGAAATGAAAAAGTATCTCTAAATGTAAAATGTTGAGAGTGTATATGTTGTTAATATGAATGAACTAAGGGGGTGACTAAATATGATAAATAATCAATACTCATTTTGATATAATTATCCTATTGTGAACATGAGACTACAGAGTTTTTCTCATTTATTTTTTGTTAGTTCAATTGTTTTTTTGCTGCTACACTATAGAAAGTTCTTTGAAACAATAGCTAAATACACTTTTCTAAGTTTTCTTCCTTATTGCTCTATACAATCCACATGTAGATTTGAAATATACAATTTTTTCCTACATGTATAAAATCACGATGTTTATAATCGCATATATGTGTATGAACAGCTGAGTATGTGCTATCTTGGTTACTTAAGAAAGCCAAGGCATGCAAACTTGAAAAGCTTATACTTTGTAATACGTTTGGTTAAAGCTGATAATTAAATTGCACTGCCTTCCCTGCATATATAGCAGAAGTATGCTGAATGACAGGGGAAGCCAGCCTGAAATCAAAAGCCTCCTGAGAATATGAATACAGATACTGAGAAGCTTGCTGTATAAAGTATTGATGCTCTTACCCTTCTCTGCCATCTTTTCATAGTTTTACCCCTTTATGCTTTCTTTTCATCTTTTAGGGAAATGGCTTACGAATCAACACAGCCCAAGATGAGGTGTACCTGCTACCATCTGAAGAACATATTAATGTTCTGTCACTTAAGGAAGAATTATTTACCATACATGGCACAAATGTTCCAGTCAATAGAAAAGAATTTATGACAGTGCTTGCGAATTTAAAGAGGCTCCTCATACAAACCACGTACAGCCATGGGATGGATGCCATCTTCAGGTAAAATAAAAAACTGCATCTTCCAGTGTCCACACCTTTACCTTGGGGCAACCATGTGTGTGTTGGAAAGGTGAATTAATCAGAATCCACTCTTTGGAGTGGGTTTAGTTTGGCTTTTGATTAGAGTTTTATTATCTTCAAAGACTAGTAGAAAGCGAAGCATCAGTTTCTTGAAAGTAAAGTTTTAAATACCCTGAATACATTTATGTTGGCCTTCCAATAGTATTGATGATTCCTTTGCAGTCCTACCAGAACACAAGACAAGTTCTGATCTCTATGTTGAGCTCTAGTGACATAAACAGTTAAGTGCTTGAATGCTAACTGGAAGGTTGGCAGTTCAAACCCACCCAGTGGCTTAGTGTGAGAAAGACCTGCTGACCTGCTGCCTTAGAGATCACAGCCAAGAAAACCCTGTGGGCAGCGCTGCTTCATCACATGGGATCACAGTGAGTAGAAATCGACTCAATGGCACCCAACCACAACATGTGGAGGAATGCTTTATTGGCAAATAAAGTCCTCGTTAGGACTCATTAGTAGAAAACTAAAGAGATATGATCTCAGGGTGCCCATATTCAGAAAGTGATTTGTAAAATATCTCTCCATTAATTAATTAATTAATTGACTAGTTTTTGACTTCATATAAATATGTGTGTGTGTGTGTGTGTGTATAGTTTGTAATAAGAAATAAAGAATTTCCAAAGAACCAGAAATCTCTTCTTAAAGCTCTGTAAACTATACTGGTCAGCACAGTAGAGAGGAAAGTATATGAGCTTAGAGGCATACCTGAGTAGAATTTCAAGCTCATTCCTTCTTATATGTGTGACCTTCAGTCAGTGATTGGTCCTGGTGCAATCTTGATTTCTTCAAATGTAAAGTGGAAACAATAATGCCTATCTTTCAAGGTCATGATGAAAATCACATATGATAATTATATAAAGTGCTCATTACCTAGAACACATTTGCAGATTAGTTTCTTTTTGTTCTCCTGTTTTTTTTTTCTTTAAAGAAAGAGCTCTTGAACCAAGCATGCCCATATCTGTCTCATTGTATGCTGCTACGCTTTCCATTTTTAAAATAGTGACTTTTTTTTTCTGGCAACATTTTCACTTCTGTGTCTGAATTATCTCTTTCCCCTTTTGCTTTTCTACTCTAATAATCAATAAAAATAACAAAAAATAGCATGGCATCTTCATTCTAAATCATATTAAGTTAGATGATCAGCTGTGACCCAAACTGACAACTTGGCGTTTCCATACTCCAAACAGTGGCTCCAGCATTGTTTCATCTGCAGGAGGATTTTTTTTTTTTTTTTTTATTGCTGATCCCCACCCCCTATGATTTGCCTGAGCTGCTTAGTTTGTCTTTCACTTGTAATATTTCAACTAAATGTAATCATCATTATCATCTCCCAAAGGAGGGAACTGCAAATTCATAAACACAACCATTGCCAAACAATGTACCTCTTTCACATAGGCGATTTCTGCTGGAAGCTGGGTTAAAATGCCATGAAGATGAGAAGCACTTAGGAATTAATTATGTTTTTTTCCTATTTAGTAAATAGGGATTGTCGTGATGTTTAACAGTGCAAAGGAGATGAGTCCTCTAGCTTTCAAAATGAATGACAACCAAATTGACAAAAAAATGGCTAAGGGGCTTATTTATTTTTGGCAGCATTGCTTCTCAGACTAGTTAATCCAAAGGCTTTTCCTCCTGATTTATGTCAGACAGTTTCACTGTCTACCCATCTTAAAATCATTGGTTTCATTTGAAGTCTTCTGAAGCTTCCCCATTACATGAGTGACATGTTCACAGAGGGTAGTTACATGAACAGATACAAGAGCTAATCCAGGTAGGTGGCTGCCTTTTGCTGCCTGCATTACCTGAAGAACTGTGGTTGAAGAAGTAAAAGCCAGTGTCGGATTTGAAACTCCTACCTATGTGAGGTGAGCTGAAAATCAGCTTGAATACAGAGTCAGTAAGCTTGTTATATTTTATTTATCTATGATCTGCTGGTGGATTGAGTCATATTTATAAAAGATCACTTGAATTGATTTTAACTTGTCTTACACAGTAGACTTCTGACTTGGTATACAGTCTGTGTAAAAACACAAATAAATTGAAGCTATTTCAACAACAACAAAATTTCATGCTTAGATTTATTTAAGGAGAATTTACTTCCATAGAAGTTGCCTCAGGAAATGGGCTTAGATTCACTAAGTTATGTGATTTGATGGAATTACATAGTGGAGTAAGTATCAAATTGGAGGTCAAAGATTTTGACTTCTGTTATCAACTCACTTATTTAATAGTTGTAAACAAAAGTATGGCTTTAACCTCTTTGGATTTGTCACCTCATTTGTAAAATAAAGACAAGGACTATAACAACCCCCCCCCCCCCCCGCCAATGTCAAAATGTCACCGTGAATTGGAATTAGAAGTCTGAAGAACCACTTTGCTAGTGGCAATTCACCACACAAATAAGAAGCATTTCTATCCAACTCTATCATTCTATGGAATAACATTTTTTTCCAAATGCCATTGAGACATGGAGAAATCTACAAGTGACCACATACTGTTGGTTCTACAACTGTGACAGCTTTTGCTCCCATTCTTTCCCAGAATGTGATGAGGTTCACATAATAAACTTAATTGATTTCTTTTTCACTGTCCATGCTGGTTAGATTAAATAAACATCCAAAAACCAAACCAAACTCACTCCCATCGAGTTGATTCCAACCCATAGCCACCCTATTGAGTTTCCAAGGCAGTAAATCTGTACCGAAGTAGATTGTCCCATCTTCCTTCCATGGTGGGTTTGAACCACCAGCCTTCTGGTTACTATTCATGCCTTAGGCATTATGCCATCAGAGCCCCTTAAAATAAACATAGAAAACTTTTATTCTCTTTTTAAGAAGGAAGGAGAAATCAATCGAATCTCACTGTCCAACTTTAACCTCTAAATTTTCTAACCCTTAGATTTAATAACATCATTCTCACACATCTGGTAAAGTTTAGTACCAAACCAAACCCAACCCACAGCCATTGAGTTGATTCCAACTCATAGTGACCCTTTAAGACAAAGTAGAACTGCCCCATAGGGTTTCCAAAGCTGTAAATCTTTATAGAAGCAGACTGTCTTATCTTTCTTTCATGGAAAGGCTAGTGGGTTCAAATCTGTGACCTTTTGGTTAGCAGCCAAATGCCTTAACTACTGCACCACCAGAGCTCTTTAGACATCAGTACGCAAATGCAACCACTACCATGGAGTCAAATCCAACTCATAGCAAGCTCTTCTTGGATTTCTGAGGTGGTATCACTATGGAAGTATGTTGCCCAATCTTCCTTCTGAGTGGCTGGCAGGTTTCAACCACCAGCCTTCTGGTTAGCAATCAAATGCCTGAGGCACTAGGCTATGAGAGCTCCTGACATTACTGAGTTCGTGAAATTTTCCTCTTTTCACAATATTACATTTCCTGAACATTTGATGGTAAATGTGGTCATGTGATTGTTTTGGCCTATATCCTGTTGGCAGAAGTGATGTGTCATTTTTCTGGAGAAAAGGACAGAATTGCCAGTCTCAGATACTCTGGGACTTAATGAACTCCAGAAGATCAAAGCAGTCTGGAATGCTGACTACACATGGAGGTCAGTTGCCCTGGGTAGCCACCCAAACTTGGAGATTATCCATGATAAACTGTTGCTTAAATTTTTAAAATTATTTGTAAAAGTGTTTTATTCTAGAAAATATTAAATATAGGATTGATTCCAAGATGGCGGAATAGGAAGAAAGTCTGAACAGACCCTCTTTAAAAAGAAAAGGGAAACCAATTAACACAGATACAGAAGATAATCCTGGATCCCTGAGCCTTGAAGGGAAGGCTATAGAAGTGGACCAAACCCCAACTAGCAGAAAAATTTGCATGAAAATACTAAAAAAAGGAAACATATGGACCTGCGGTCTGGCAGCGATCCTGATGGCACAGACAGCTTAGAGATTCCCAACTGGTGGTAGGACCTAAGAATTAACCTGAAAATAAGCCCTGCCAGCCAGGGACTGCACAGAGGACTGCTCTGGTGGAGTAGAAGGGGAAGCAGTGGCGAAGAGGAAGACGGGCTGACCTGTGGACTTTTGCTGGTCCAGAGGGCGCCACCATTTTGAATGTTTACAAGCAGCTTGATCATTTGGATATTTAAAAAGACAGTCCTCTACTAGATTCCAGGGGCTTAAGAAGAGGTTCTTCTTTCCATTAACCCCAAGGACACTCCAGACCTGCACGACTGAAAAGATTCAACATTCCTCTTGTTACTCTTATACCCCACACCCTCTTGGTCAACAGAGGTGCGGCCACCCCCCACTCCCACCGACCTTCTGGTTCCACAGGAACTTCATCCCAGTCTGTGTGTTTGGACAGAGCCTGGGTGCCCTGCCCTGTCCTCTGCCGATATTTTTCTTTTTTTTTTTTTTCTCTTTCTTTTTTCTGGTGTTTAGTTTGCTTGTATTTGTCTGCTTTAAAACTACTATTGTTATTAATACTTTTGTCCTTTTTACTATTCTTCCCCTCCCAGGTCCTAGTTTACACCTTTTTACTACTTTTCCCAGTTGCTGGTTCAAATTTATTTATTTAATTATTTTAATTTAAATTCTTTTCTTTCCCCCCCTTTTGTTTTCTCATGGTTAACCCTGTTCCTTGTTTTTTTTTTTTTTTTTTTTTGTTGTTGTTGTTGTTCCCGTTTTTCCCATTTTTCTTCATTGTTCTCCTTCTCTACCTTTTTTTCTCTTAGTGCCCAATACGCAGATATTGCAGGTTTTCTTCTTTTTTTCTTCTTTTCTTCCTTTTTTTCTTTTTTGGGTTACTATTCCTCTGTGACTACATGGTGTATTTTTTGTCCATGTGCTTTTAGTTTTTTGATGGTTATTCAATTGTAATTTTTGTCTAACTGAGTGGCAGACAGCAACAGTCCCCATAAGATACAAGTACTCCCACACCTCCTGCAACTTC